AGGAGGCTCTGATACCAAAGAAATTCTTCAAAGGATCGTTGTGTGATGTAATTAAAATCGTGTGCAACACAATAAATAACAAGAACTCTTTCTTTGTCTTATTAATCTTTCTTACTTTCTTCTCTATTTTCTTATTTTTTTTTCTTATGTGATCATCTTACACTTAGATCTCTTTATATAGAGGTATTAGAAATCTTAACTTTTAACCTAATACATAATGATTTAGAAATTTTTCTTTATCCTAAACCTATAACTTTAGTTAGTTATCCTAATTCCTTTAAGGACAGCTTCCTTTTCTTGATGATTTCCATTTTAGTAATGCTGAAGCTTATCTCCAACACTTTCTCCAATCCTCCACCGAGTAAACGCATTCGAAGAACAAGTGGTCTCTGGATTCTGGAAATAAACCACATAGCAAGCATGTACCTTCAACATCAAGTCCCCACGATAGAAGTCTGTCCATGGTAGGATTGCGATTTAACATGAAAAACTAGCCATGAAGTTATAGCATGCTTAGGAACTGATGCAGCATGCCATACTAAAGACAACCAAGAGCAAAGCTGCTTCCTCTCTAGTATAATTCCAAATCTCCTTAGTGATAAATTTTTTTCTCTGGACACTATTAACTCTGTAGATAATCTTATCATTTCCATTTCCCAGAAATAATGTGGATATGAATATATGAAGCTGAAGCTGTCTTTACGAACATGGATGAGACAAATTCCAGCTACTATTTGCTAAGCAATCGCTCACAAGAGAATCAATTGAAATTCCTAAATCCATGCATAGAACCCGAGGTGCCTAGAAGGACCGAAAAACTCCATGGATCCTACCACAAGAAAGTTTCGCCACCACCATTAATCTTATAGTATATTAGAGACTGAACAATAGGGCGTAAATTAACAAGCCTTTGAAACATCCAAGATGTGTTGCGAACCGTTAGCTGTGACGACCAAAAGAACTATCTCTTATATGATACACCATTTAAGTATACGCATAAGTACGCAAAATGGTGTCGTAAGTGCACTTCCCTTGAGAGATATATGTGATGCATCTGAAGACCACATGTTGACTATATATGTTGATATGTCAATATTTTTCCACGTGTGAATATTCATGGAACTCATCCGATCGACTGTGCTGCACAAAATTCTCCGTGTTACCGTTCTGAATTTGATAGTCCGAGAATTAATCCCATGTGTTTGCTTTTCATGAGTGAAAAGTGAAGATTATAAATAATGCACTTGCAAATGCATTAGGATTGAAAATTTGCTATGTTAAAATATAGTCTCCCTTGGGGAACTCGGAATATCACTCTTCGCAAAAGGAAGTTTGGGGGTCATTTGCGGTCGATGGAGAGGCGAGAGCCATTGATTATAACCACTTAAAAGTTGTCTAGAGTTGTGCCGATTTCACTATGGTGTGAACATATGCTAGTTGCCAAAGACGTCTTAGTGTTATTTTATACGGAGACAAGAACCATTGTTAACTGCATAGGACTTAAAAGAACCATCATTGCCAATGCAAGTAAGAGAGATTAACATTCAAGGTCACTTTTTGAATTTGTGTTACAGTTTAAGTCAGTTATGACTACTGAGACATCTTTTTTCTAACCAAGTCAAAACTAAAAAAATTTTGTTTGGTTTCTCTTTCTTTTAGTTAGGAATTTCTTTTTTTTTTCTTTAATGAAACAGATCTTTCTTCTTCTTCTTCATCGGTAAAGAATTTTTTTTTGAGAAATTTGCAACTCGTTCTTTGCATATCTTTCTCACCATTCTACTCCAAGCCGCGACCACTGTACCAAGATTTTACGGCCAATTCTCTTTCTCTGGAATAAACTCACGGCTACGGCTTTCCTCCGTCAAACATGCTCAGATCCGCCGGTGTCGTCATGCTTAGCTCCACCGCGTAGCCAGGCTTATCGTCAGAATCAAGCTTGCCATCACGAGTTCCTGATCCGCAAAGAGAAAGCTCGTGAGCTTCAATGGTGGCTTTCCCCATATTTGCATATACAGTCCCTGAACTTCTGCTCCTTTACAATTTGGGCTCCATATTTTGTAAATTGCAGAAACACCCTCACGAATCAACCTTTTAATTTCTGAAAGTGCACTTTAGACCCTACTATATGTAATATGCACTGAAATTCAATATATACACCTAATATGCAATCTAAATGATCAATATGAACTAGATGAGATCCTAAAAACATTAAAATCATAACATATCAGTGTACACCTTTTTTGATGTCCATATGTACATCAATCTCATCGTATACAATCACCTGATGGTTCTATCATCGAATACATGTACATATTGTTATCATGGATAAACCCAAGTTTCTTACGTAAATACAAATGTGTACACTAACACGCGAGAGTCGAGAAGAGTTATGGTGGACCCAATATCACATGTGTACACTAATATATTTTTTTTCATTTTTTGTCATTGGTACATTAATACTTTCAAATTGAGGATTTTGGCGTTTTGGAAAGTTTTGGTAAGGTGTACACTAACACGTGTATACATATGACCTGGATTGTGTACATGTGTACAATCATGTATATATATAACTAGGAATGTATACACATGTACATATGTACAATGAATTTGATGTACACATTGATCAGTGAAATTACATATACACATGTACACTGTGGTAAATTTGTAAAGCAATTTGATCAGATTGGAAGTTTAAGACATATTATGAAGGAAGCAAAAAACTAAAGGATCAAAGTGAAAAAGACGATATTCCTCCATTGATGTTGCTCGAGCGATCTTCTCACCGGATCTCGTTGACAATGACGGCGAGATGACTACGACAGAGCAGATACATGACGCTGAGGCTTGATTCCGATGATGGCGAAGGCTGAGAACACGACCGAAGGTGGAGAGGTCCTGGACTTTAGACATGGAGAAACCGATGTTGAGGAGACGCGACGAAATACAACGGTGGATGAGACCTGGATGGAAAACAATGAGATCGGAGTTGTCCACCTGTCCAAAATCACTGACCCACTCCGGCGAGAATAGTGGTGGAGAGTGGAGACGCCGGAGAAAAGACCCAAAATCCATGACTTATAATACTCATGCATGAGGAGGTGAAGAAGTGTGAACGTTTGAAAGGAAGTCTAGATCTGTCTTCATCTCTGATTTCTTTGGTTCTTCCGTTTAATCACAAACCTTCGTTTTTGAATTTGTTTTCGTCATGTTACTCTGATTTGTTTTAAGTTTTAGAATTTAGAAGCTAAAGCAGGAGAAAAGAAAGTTATTTTCTGTGTTTATTTTTTAATTATTTTTTTCTCTTGTGTTTTGTTTATTAATTTAGTGGGTTTAATTTTAAAAAGTTAGTATTAGTTAGGATGTAGACTTATAGTTACGATAAAAAAGATAACATACACAGAAAACTGTGTAAAAGTGTGTGTAGAGCAAGATATATTGTAGAGTGATATAAAAAGACTTATATAAAAACTCAAAATGTGACCCACTATGTAATTTTCTCTGTAAGTAAACATATGCTGCTATTTTCAAAATAACCATCAGTAAAATTTACATGGGAAGAAAAACAGTCATAGTATACATTTATAGCCGTCAATCCATATACAAATCATCATGGGAGGTGCGACTACAACGCGGTTTTGGAGACATGACATGTTTTTTTTAACAGATGGTGGGTCCTATCTATGTTCAGACTTCAGAGGTGTGTTCTTCCCTACTCAATACTCATTAAAACTTACCTTCATAATTTCATACAACAACTATGATGACTTTTATTTTTTATTTAAAGTCACTCACTACTTGAAGTCGTAAGAAGGAATCTCTCTCAATTTGGTCGACAAATAAAGTAAAAATCATTTATGCATTTAACTGTAAAGAATCATTTATTAAAATCAATTCGGGATGGAAAAAGTTACTAGTGTGAACAAAGTACAGAAAAAACAAAGATAAAAGCATGAAAATGATTATAATTAACTAAAGACAAAATCAACTTTCTCTTTTTCTTTTCTCTTTATTTCTTTTTTTCCCTCAAATTTGATGATTTTAGTTATAATTTCACCCGTACCGATGTGTGGATATATTTTCATTTTATAAATATATAAATAAAATTTTTAAATATATAATTTATATTTTAGTTTAATTATAATTATATCTAATAACGAAATAAAGAAATACTTATTTTATAAAATAATTTAATTTTTTTTGTAAGATCTTATTAGATTTTTGAATAAATTTTATTATATTTAAATTTATTTATTATTAATTATTAAGATATTTTTAAAATAATATATATTTGATTGGTTAAATAGTAAATTTTGGTATTTCTCCTTTAATAATTTCCGTGGATTTTTAGGTTTAAGAAATAAGAGACGTCGATTTGATCTGCACAGTTCCCCGTCTCTCTCTATGGCTCTGTTTTAAAAAGGGCAAATAGATTTCTCCTTCCACACACACAAAGTCACCAGCTTTATTTATCATCGCATCCCCAATGTCCATATGATGATGATTAACGTAATAAACTAAGGGTTCTCCCACAATCTATCTTACACGTTTCATTCGATTCCCTTTCTTCTCCATCAATCATCCCCACCGATAACAACAGCTTCTGATTAGCCAATCGTAGCAGAGTATCTCCCAGATCCATTCTATCTCTGTATGTTCTTATTCCGACAAATCTACTTCTAGTTCCTGTCTCCTTTGTGTTATTTTTTTTGGCAGATAGGGTGTTGTTACTTTTGTTATGTTTCTCATTAATCTGTTAACATTCTCTAATAGTATATAAATTAAATGTTTTCGTTAGTCTTACGGATCTTTTGTTTATTAACATCATAAAAAGGATTCATCTTTTTTGCTTTTTCCTGAAGACATCACTAAGTATGTATATCATTGATTCATTGTCTTGTTGCTGATCTAAAAGATTCAAACTTTTTTGTTCCCTCTTTGATCTGTTTTGTTATGTACTCTAGAGCTGATCTGAGTTTTTGTTTCATGGTTTCAGACCAACCATGGCCATAAAATCAAGTTCTGCCGATAACAAAACAAGAAGCTCTGTTCAGATCTTCATTGTCTTCAGCTTATGTTGCTTCTTCTACATTCTCGGAGCATGGCAACGAAGCGGCTTCGGCAAAGGAGACAGCATAGCTCTCGAGATGACAAACAGTGGAGCTGACTGCAACATCGTCCCAAGCCTAAACTTCGAGACACATCATGCAGGAGAGTCAAGCATCTCTGGTGCCTCAGCAAAGGTTAAAGCTTACGAGCCTTGTGATGCTAGTTACACTGATTACACTCCCTGTCAAGACCAGAGGCGTGCGATGACTTTCCCTAGAGATAGTATGATTTACCGTGAAAGGCATTGCGCTCCAGAGAGTGAGAAGCTTCATTGCCTTGTGCCTGCTCCTAAAGGATATGTTACACCTTTCTCTTGGCCTAAGAGTAGAGACTATGTGCCTTATGCTAATGCTCCGTACAAGGCTTTGACTGTTGAGAAGGCTATTCAGAATTGGATTCAGTATGAGGGTGAGGTTTTTAGGTTCCCTGGTGGTGGGACTCAGTTCCCTCAAGGTGCTGATAAGTATATTGATCAGCTTGCGGAGGTGATACCTATGGGGAATGGAACTGTTAGGACTGCTTTGGATACTGGTTGTGGGGTAATAATGTCTTTCTGTTTGATTGTCCTGTTTTGTGTATTGATATTCTTTGTGGTGCTAAAACTGAAACGTTTTGGTAGGTTGCAAGCTGGGGAGCATACTTATGGAGTAGAAACGTGCGTGCAATGTCTTTTGCACCAAGAGACTCCCACGAGGCTCAGGTTCAGTTTGCTTTAGAGAGAGGTGTTCCCGCTGTTATTGGTGTTCTTGGCACCATAAAGTTGCCATACCCAACACGGGCTTTCGACATGGCTCATTGCTCTCGTTGTTTGATTCCATGGGGAGCAAATGGTAAGACAAGTTTCTACTTCTTGAAACAATGATCGACTTAGTTACTTAATGTTGTTTTGGTGTTTTAAACAGATGGGATGTACTTGATGGAAGTTGACCGTGTGCTTAGACCCGGTGGCTACTGGATTCTGTCTGGTCCTCCAATCAACTGGAAAATCAACTACAAGGCATGGCAACGTCCCAAGGAAGAGCTTGAAGAGGAACAAAGAAAGATTGAGGAAGCTGCTAAGCTTCTTTGTTGGGAGAAGAAGTATGAGCACGGAGAGATCGCCATTTGGCAGAAGAGAGTCAATGATGATGCATGCCGTTCAAGACAAGATGATCCTAGAGCCAACTTCTGCAAAACTGATGACACCGATGATGTCTGGTATGTAATAACTCTTATTAATTATTGACACTTTGGCTCTAACCCATCCATGTTCTTTAGGTACAAGAAAATGGAGGCATGTATTACACCGTATCCAGAGACAAGTAGCTCAGATGAAGTGGCTGGAGGAGAACTTCAGGCTTTCCCTGATAGGCTCAACGCAGTGCCGCCTAGGATCTCTAGCGGTTCCATCTCTGGTGTGACGGTTGATGCTTATGAAGATGATAACAGACAGTGGAAGAAACATGTGAAAGCCTACAAGAGAATCAACAGTTTACTTGACACAGGAAGGTACCGTAACATCATGGACATGAACGCAGGGTTTGGTGGATTTGCTGCTGCTCTCGAATCACAAAAGCTTTGGGTTATGAATGTTGTCCCCACCATTGCTGAAAAGAACAGACTTGGAGTTGTATATGAACGAGGACTCATTGGAATCTACCATGACTGGTAAGTAAAATAATAACATTCTCTTCTTCTCACAACTTCTCAAGTCTCATTAGAGACTTTGTTCTTGTGTGAATATGGTTTTCAGGTGTGAGGCTTTCTCTACATACCCAAGAACATATGACTTAATCCATGCAAACCACCTCTTCAGTTTGTACAAGAACAAGTAAGTGTGTCTCCTTTTTTTTTTCCAAACACTTGTCTATTGGATTTGTTTTTGAGACTAATGAATGAAACTGGAATCTTTGTAGGTGCAATGCGGATGAGATTCTTCTGGAAATGGATAGGATACTCCGTCCAGAAGGAGCAGTTATAATCAGGGACGATGTTGACACATTGATCAAGGTGAAGAGAACCATATCTGGAATGAGATGGGACTCGAAGCTGGTTGATCATGAGGATGGTCCTTTAATTAATGAGAAGGTTTTGATTGCCGTGAAGCAGTATTGGGTCACCAACTCTACCTCCTCTAAGTGAAGTTTCTATATTTAGTGGTGTGACCTGACATTTTGATCAAAATGATAGACGCTTTCTTTGTCCTTAGGGAATGTGAGAGAGCTCCTACTACACTCTCGTCTTTGTTACATTTTTCTAAGTATCCCTATTTAATTTAGGGTCCCTTTAATTTATGTTATAGTTTTTTTGGATCAACTTATATGTTTTAGTTAAATTTATTTTCTTCTCTTAGATAATCAACGAGTATGCTTCAAGTACATGAAAATAGTATATTGAATCCTGTATATGCATACACATTTCAAAGACAAGCTAGTACATATCTCTAGCGAGAAGCAAAATCAGCTCTTCTTCTGGCTGATATAAATCCCATATATAGCAGACTTAGCCGTTGATTCAGGAAATATCATGTATTTTTCAATCTGTTATGCATTTTCGTCTTTGTTTCCACTTTTTGCTTACAAAAGGACAAAATTGATATTGAGCAAAATGATTTAGGAAAAAAGAACATTTCTTTCAAAGATTGTAATTTACACATATATCATGTGGTGAAAAACAACAAGAAATTGAACAGTATCTGAGTCTTCTTGACTATGAATCAACTTTCAACTCTTCTGTCTCAGCCTTCTTAGTGAAATTGAGACTAGTCTGTATAACTTTCTTAGGTCCTGAAAAAGAACACAATTACACATAAGGAACAAAGATATAACATAAAATAAATCAAATTCTTATAAATGATAAGGGAGTAGTATATAGCACCTTTCTCTGGATTCTTCTTGATCGAATTAACAACTGTTGATTTCCAGTCCTCATACTTAGCTTCCTCCATCTTCTTGTGTCTTTTGTAGCAAGAAGACTGTATAAGGTCCAATTCAAATGTGTAAATCAGCAAATGGTCACAACAAGTAGGTACATTTGGTAAACGCAAAGTGATTCTAGAAAAGAAAAAGTACCTCATCATCAGATGAATATCCACCATCCTCTAGTTTCCTCTTACCAGGTAAGACATCAAGCAACTCTGAGGAGAATGTTGCACATAATCAAATTATTTTGCTCGGTTGAAACATATGTTCAAACTAGTATTAGAGTAAACATACCCCTGTTTCCTTGAACGTCTTTTGCATCTTTCTTCTCCTTGGAGACCCCAACACAGTCATAGCAAAGGTCTATCATGGAGGTCGACACCTGTTATGAATTATCCATGTAACACTAAATCAGTACTTAAACAATCAAGTCACACATTAATATATATAAATAAATAAACAATGTCACTTACACAAGAGAATTCTGATTCTGATGTTCCACACACTTCAACCAACCTAAGCTTATCTACCTTAAGCTGCAACATAGATACACAAAGCTGGATATTCAGAAACCCAACAAAGAGACTCTGAACATCCTCAGAAAGGAAAGAAATCCAGATTAGTGGTACTAAATTACCTTCTGCTTTTTAGCACACAAATAGAAAGCAGCAGCCGTAAATACAGGTCTAGTAAAATCAGCATTTGCCCGTCTTGACGCTGGTAACGATGCAAGAAACCTCTCTTTATACCTACACATCAACCAAAACCCAAAAGACTATAAGCAAAACATGAACAATACTTACTATGAGACATTTTATCAAACACATCCCATGCATATACCATAAAGAGAAGAAAAAAAGCTTACAAAGATAGCATGTGTTGCACTGATTTGATAATCCTAACGCAGCCAAACTGAATCGCCAGCTCTTTAACATTAAGCTTAATCCTGAAATGCACATTTATTTAATTAACTCAACCAATAGATTTTGTAACTAAAAATGGAGATCTAATGGGAAAAGGAAACCCACTTGACTCCAATAACGTTCTGGAGGCTATTGAATGATCTCGTGTATGCCTTTTCAGACATACCACTCAACTTAATCGCTGCTTGTCTATCGAAAATAACCTGCAACCTGCGATACATTCGAAAGTAAAAGTAAGTGATATACCCACGATGATGATTGAAATCAACATCATATGATTTTCAATTAGCGATATTACCGAGACGCTGCGATTTCGAGACAGATCACAGCTTTACAGATCTCACCCTGCAAAATCAGATTACAAAAGTTTATAAATTCAAAACTTAATTTAATTTCGGATTTATAATCAAATGTCTTACAACGCCGATGACGGATGAATCGAACTGAGCGTCACAAAGGCGGCGAATCTCGGCAGCTTTTCGGACCACTAGCTTGTTGTTAGAGAGATCAAGCTTTCTCGCTATGTCGGAGATATCCATATTTGAATTTCGGAGATTGTTACAACAAAGATCCGAGTGAGTGGTTTTCAATAGATGTCAATGGCGAATAGCTATGAGGATTGTTGAGAAGAGAACCGCAGTTATATTAAAAAGGAAGAAGAGTTGCCAACGTTTGGCGGGATTTTTTGTTGGCTAGTTAAAATTTTAACCGCCCTTGTTTTTCTTTTCTTTTTTTCATTTCCCTCTCAGTAATGGGCCTTAATGAAGCCCCGGTTTGGCCCATATAGCATCTTAATGTTTGTAAAGATGTCTAAATGCAGCTGAATAATTTATGAGATAATTGGCTAAAGTGTCCTATTTGGCACCTATAATTAGAGAATTGCCCATGATGTGAAAATCACTTTCTTTTGGACCATTTTGCCCTTCTCTACACTCTCTCTCTTCTCTTTGACATCTCGCCTCTTTTTTTCTCTCTTCAATCCCTAATTATTTTACAAATCTCTATCATTCTATATACAATTAAATTTTAAATTTCATTATTTTTTCATAAGTGGCTTTGAATCCTCAATTTTGATCTTTTTTTTTCTCTCCAATCCCTAATTATTTTACAAATCTCTATCTTTCTATATACAATTAAATTTTAAATTTCATTATTTTTTTCATAAGTGGCTTTGAATCCTCAATCTTTTGATGATATCAATTTTCTGGGTTTTAGATTCGACGTCGTGTTAGTGGTTAACAAATATTGTAGACGTTAACAGAAGTGTTAGTTGTTAACAATTATTTTTACGCTTCGCATTAATAAATGTGTTCGTTGTTAACAAATATTGTAGACGTTAACAGAAGTGTTAAGGGTTTAGGGTTTAGGGTTTAGGGTTTAGTGTTAACAATTATTTTTACGCTTCGCGGTAATAAATGTGTTTACTGTTAAGAAATATTGTAGACGTTAACAGAAGTGTTATATGTTAACAAATGTTTTTACGCTTCGTGTTAATGAGAGGAAAGAGAAAGAGCATTCTCGGCATTTCCTTGCCAAATGGTTGTGTCAGTGTCCTTCATGTCCAATCAATGGTATTTTGCTAATTTGAGCTTCAAATATGGGTAGTTCACTAAATCACTCATAATTTATTAGGGCTGTTCAATATGGTGATACCGAACCGTACCGAACCGAACCGAACCGAAATAAACAATATGGTTTGGATTTGGTATATACCATATAAACCGAATGGATATGATTTTATAAAAACCGTAGCATTTGTATATGGTCAGGTTTATAACCGATTAAACCGAATAAACCGATCAAAGAAAAAAATATATAAGTATATACATTATATAACCATTTTTTTTTCCTGGAATAGTCTTTTTATTTTTATTTTTTATACCTTGTGAAGATATATCTTTATAATTTTATTTTATTTTCTTCAACTATTATCTAAATTTGATTTGATTTTACATGTTGTAAGAAATTGTGAAATTAGATTGTACCATGTAATTTATTTGGAAGAACAAAGAGAAAATAAGAAAAGCTATACAAAACTGAATCGTTGATCGTTTTGTTTGCTGTTAATTTCACATTTTTATATTTATGAACACCTTGGATTATTTTAATAAATGATAGTTTTAACAATATGTTTTTAGAAAAAAATCATATCATATGAAACCAAATCAAATAATAATGTTATTTGGTATACAACTGAATAAACCGAAAACCGGTAATATAAATACCGAACCAAACCAAATTAAATATGGTTCCAATATGGTAGCTAATTTTTATAAACCGAATAACCGAAAACCGAAAAAAACTGAACCAAACACCAGATTGAACAAGCCTCTATAACTTTTTGGTATTACCAAAAATATCTGTAGTAAGATCTTCTAAACGCATCATGAGTCTTTCTTCTTTTTACATTTTTTCAGCATATTACACATGACTACTTGTGTAGTAATTAAATGATTTGAAACAATATCCAATGGTAAATTTGTAAAAAAAAAAGACAAGGAAACAAATGTAATATGCGACCAACGGCATCAATACAATGATTGTTTGATTCTACCGACTACCGTACAGTTCATAAGCTTTTACACCAAAACAGAAGAAAACAAAGCAAATAAACAGAGAAGACACAGCCTTTTTGTGTTGTTGTACTATTCAACTTATCAGGCTAAATAGCGGTAAAGTTTCCGGTCCGTGTTATCCCTTTCCAAGAAATCACGTTCAATCAGCAACTCGGTTCTCTTCTTTATCTCCGTTGGGTTAGCCAAGAACCGTGGTTGCAACTGTTTTGTCACTTCTGCTATTATGTTGTTGTGATCCAGTATTTTCCTAGACTTCAAGATCCTCACAATCGCTGCTTCTATCTGAGGTTTCCTGTCTTCCTCAACTCTCTGTCTTGTCTCTTGCTTCTCTGGTTCCGTCTCCTTTTGTGCCACCACCGTTCCGATCTTCACTTTGTAAAACTTGCTTGTGAACTTGTCGTTCACTGAAAATAGATCCTCTTCTCCTATGTCTTTGCTCATGGGTTCTTTCTTTATCACGTTTTTGCCTTTTACACACGCAAGCGACTGCAAGCAACGTTACAGATCTGGTGCCGGGATTTCAGTTGCCTGTTCGATCTCTTTGTAGCTGAGACGATCAGAGTTTTTGAACAGCATGAGGACACACATCTGGAAAGTCGACACGTTCAGTTCATGTTTCTGACCCTTTCCAAAGATGGCTTTGATATCGGCTGTGCCCATGTTAGTCTGCCAAGACAATCTTCTACCGGTATGAGTTCCAAGGTAATAAGAACGGAACTTCTCGCAGAGAACGGAAACTTCAGCTGGGAGATTACAAGGTACTGCAGGCTGTGTGGGCCAAGAACCAGTTGTGAGAACCTGAACAATGAGTGTTGGTCCTTCCGAAAGCTCAGGATGGCTTCCGTAAAACCCTCGCATTGTGTCCTCTGAAGTCTTCATGTCAGTGAACATCCCTTCTAATTTTGAAGTGAACTGATAACCACATTCCGTCTTCAGTTTCACTATCAGACTTCTCTCTGCGTCATCTGACACGGTTTTGCCAGAGAGAAGCCTTTTAGCCAAATGCTGCTTGTAGTACTTCTCAAACACATCTTTCTCCTGCAAGTATCGGAACAGCATCATAACTTTATCAAGGATGACTTCCACATCCACATCGGCAATACCCTTAAGTCCTTTCCGTAACTTGTCATCAACAAATAAGGAGATGAACTCAGGAGAACGACCATTCAAGTTAATGAAATACTCAAACGAAGAATTGAGAGCGTTCTGAAACGTTTTATCATTACCAAACGCGGTGCTGATGATTTTGTCATACTTATCTCGCTCATCCAATAGCCGCTGCACAAACTCCACAGGATCCTTCGACTTCTCCGGATCAGTAACCAGCTGCTTCCCCATTTCCCTTAGATGCGAGGTCATAACATCTCTGACAGTAGAAAGACCGTTGGTAACCCTGCGGAACAAGTTGTACATCCTACCCAAATCCTCATACTTATCATTCAAAAGCCTATTAACAAGACCTGAATTCTCCATGTGAACCAGCCTCTGCATATGGTTAGCGATCATCTCTTTCTCAACCACACTAGTGATCTTGTCCTCGCTCTTGGCATCCAAGTAGTGTCCTACCCTATCTATCTCCTCAGTCAGACGTTTCTCAGCTTTCTTCTAGTAATCCCCACAATCACAAGACTCAATAAACTCCTGAGACTCAACCTTGTAAAACACAGAAGAAGCATCCAAAAAAGGCTTCTCAAAATCAGCCTGATACACAGATTCCCCAAGTCCATAAACATCTTCGTAACATTCCTCAACAATCCCCTGTCAATAACCTCACCCGTGCGTTCCTTCTTGACAAGATCAAGAAGTGTCTCTAAAAGCCTCGAATATATCTTAGGTGAACGCACCACGTTATCCTTCCACAAACTAAGCCCCATGGGATGAACATGGGGCTTCTTGGCGCTCTCGACGTAAGTCCTATCCATGTACATGAGGACGTCCCTTATCATTTCCAACGCCTTGTTGTGTTCGTTCCACTTCTTGTTGAGCTCTTCAAGAAACGATCCTCCCTGAGCTACCTCAATGAGCTTGGACTTCTCCTTGAGATGACCAGTCATGGTGGCGATAAAGCCGGTATAGAGCTTATCTCCAAACTTGTGCAGAACCATGTTGTACGCGTTTCTGAGCCACACAACAAGAAGAAGAACTAAGCATACCAAATAAGATTGCATCTAACCATCATGAAAACTTATTCATTCTAAATTCGCTTAGCCATTAACAGCCGGATGAAAGGGAGACTTACACCAACAGAGAAACATTTCTACACCAAAAAGAGAAGATACCTGTAAAGCTCTTCAAAGCTGAGACCGCTAGCATCTTGATTGTAAATCTGATGAATCGCACGCTCGAGAATCTGCCAGGTTTTATCAGCGTATTTGGGATCGACGACGACGCGATGCTTGAACGCCTCAGTCTGGAAATTCCTCTTCTTCTGATTACTCATATTCAAAAAACACCTTTGAAGTCGAATGTATAAAATCAAAACCTGGATCAGAGAAAATCGAAACGCAACAGCAGAAATTGAAATTGGAGAACAATTAAAGGGTTAGATCGAGAGAGAACCGGGGACTAACCGGGGAAGGGGGAGATGATCGGATTAGGGTTTGGAATGTATTCTTTCCTTCCGCGATGAGATTTGGGGGAAAAATAACAGAATAAACGACAAATTAAATGACACGTAAGGATAACTTCTTTTTTTTAATTATTTTGTGTAGAGAAGATATAAGGGGAAGATATTTGAAGGTGGAGGTTTTGATGAAGAAGACGAGTTGAAGATGATAGAAGAAAGAATGGAGGGGTAGAGAAAATAATAGAAGTGGAACTCTCCGTCTCAGCCAGTGGTTTTCCCGACCCATACACATTACAGGTTACATGTGGGGAAAATTGCATAAAAGTCATAAATTTGGCAAAAGTTTGCACTTTAAACAATGAAATTTGTATCAAAAACATATTAAACATTTAACTAACTTGTTGCACATGTCAAAATTGTGATTGATTACTGTTCATTAGCAGGTAAAACACGATTTACTTAAAAAATTAATTAATAAAAACAAATAAAATCAGAAAAAAATCAATATAAATTCTAAAATTCAAGAAAAATAAAGAAAATAATTACAATCCATAAAAAATTTTTAAAAAATATAAATTCAAAATTTTATAATAAAAGTAAAAATAAATAGAAAAAATTGATTTAAACTAACAAAATGGTAAAGATAATAAAACAAAAAAAATAGAAATTAAAAAACTGTAAAGATTGATATAATTATAAAAAAGGAAATTTAGAAAAATCAGGAAAAAAGAAAAATTTAAAAATTTAAAAAAAAAATCAAAAAGATTGATAAAAATAGGAAAAAATAATTCTGAAAATGAAAATTAATAAAGATCAAGAAAAAATAAATTTATAAGTTAAAAAATAATAAAAAAATTATACAAATTGATTAAAAAATCAGAAAAAAAATCTAGAAAACAAAGAAAACCATGAAAGTGGAAAAATTGGAAAAAACAAAGAAAAATCTAGTCTCTAGATCTATAGGATCTTAAGGATCTGAATCCGGACATCCAAACGCTTATAAGTTTACCTAAACACCAAAGAGGTTTTGGTCAAGTACGTTTTATTTTCAATTTTTAAAAATTTTATTTTTGAATTTTTATTTGTTTACTAGACTTATATAAATTTCCTAATTTCCATTTTTTTATCGATTTTTACACTTTTTAATTTCTATTTTTTTCTTTTATTACTTATACTATTTTGTTAGTTTTAATGGATTCATACTATTTTTTATTTTTATTATAAAATTTTGAATTTATAAATTTTATTTTTAATTTTTGAATTTTATTTATTTTTTCCTGAATTTATATCAATTTTTAGAATTTATATTATTTAAAGTAAACTGCCACATCGCCAGTTTTTAACTGCTAATGAACAGTAACCGGTCACAGTTTTACCGTGTCTAACAAGTAAGTTAGTTCGATGTTTGATATGCTATTAATACAAGTTTCATTGTTTAAAGTGTTACAGTGAAGTTTTAAGGTTTAACATGTAAACTTTTATCCACTTCATGATTTTTTATGCAATTTTAGCTTACATCTCCTTCGTTCAAAAAAAGAAATTATGTGGATGTGGGTGGGCTACTACACTCCATCATAGATCCAAAACAACTCATTTGTAAGAAAATCTAATGGTGGTCCGAAGAAGAAAAGTTCGGTTTTTAATTCGGAGGCCCATTTAGGATGAATGTTCCATTTTTTGTATGAAGCTTAATCATATCTCACATGAGACATTTCAGTCGCATATCGGAAGGCCATCGTCAAATGTATCTTGAACATTACATATCCAACACGTGAACTTGGATAACGACTAATCTTTATAAAGTTTGAAATCAACAGGTCTAAATGCGAGATCTAAGCTATGTTTCATCAGAAAGCTCGACTATGTAAAGAAAAAAAAACTCAGTAGCGGGAGACTTCTTGATCATTAAAGAGAAATTATAACTTGTACTTTGATTTGTTTGAATTCAGTTTTCTTATAACTAAAAATGTGTTGTACTTTGTTTTTTACAACGCATTTCAACAAAGACAAGATCTTGAATCATCATTTCAAAACTTAATCTCAATTTATCTAAACTCAAAATGCTTAACCAGATTTATATCTACAATTTTTATTTATTGAAATGTTATTTATTTTACAGAATTATCTCGTTTCATAAGAACTTTTAATTTTACAAAACATTCTTTCTAACTACTTTTTCTTGTCATTAAATGTTAAGTGTGCATGGGGAATAGACATTTTATCAATTAAAAATTGACTGGATAGATTACAAAGGTCCATTTGAGATTGAAATAGATGTTTTTGTCTAATCAAATGTTGATATGTATATGTTCACGTCTTCTTAAATCATAAGCTTTCTTTTAATATTTCTTGAATAATGTGATAGAGTTTAGTGTTTCACATTGGTTCTAGTCGGTGACCATGAAAATAACAATAGAAATAAATAAATAGAAAATATAAACAATATAACATAATAGCAGAATCTAGATTACTCTCTGATGATGTGAAATTATAGTTTACTTGATTAGTTCACACGCTTACCGATATTCATAATAGCAGAATCTAGATTATCATTATATCTCTGTTGTGGATCCTAAAATCCACACGCACTATTTTGTATTGATCAAGATTTCAATCAAAGAAAGACAAATGATGTGGGCAACGATGCTCTTAAACACAACGATACAATTGGAATTCGGTTGATAAAAATGGATTTTTATTGAATATGAAATTCGTTTACAAGGTGATGAACAAGATCAAAAACAACAATGAAAATTAGAAGTAATAAGCGAATTAGAAATTAGTGGGCTGAGGTCGATGTGATTACTAAATAGCTCTAGGATTTTCCGTGTGTTTTGCCCTATATTCTAACTCCTTTTATAGTCCTCTGTTCCTGTAACTGTTTCCGCAATCTCCGGAATCCATCTTGACCTCGTAGAGTCCGGTTTGATGTCGAGTTCGTAATGTTTTTAGATGGGCTCGAGCCTACTTATCTAAGTACCGAAATTGAGTCCAACATCTATGAAAAGGTGAAATTTTCTCTTGACATTAACAGGTTGCTGCTATCCAAACTGATGTTGACTATGATGAGGTCCTCATGTACCTGGTTGTGCTTTTCGATGAGGTGAACAATCTTAACCGATTAATCTAAGATAATAATAATAGATAGAAATTCTTGCATGACTACTGATTGATATCTGTGATTGATTTACAATAATGAAAATTGGTACTGACATATTTTCAGGCTATTCCTAAATCTGAGGTGAATGACCTAGCCATAGCTTTTGCATGTGAAAGGACAAAAAAGAGGGGCAAATGGAAAAAGAAGAACCCACCACTGACTAGTGAGCAAGCTGCAAGGAAAGAGAGGATGGAGACAATTCAAAAGAGGGAGCGAAAGATTCCAAACTCTAGATCCTGATGACTGTGCACTTTTCACACGGTTGGTTGAATCAAAGTGACTCTTCTGAACATGTTTGGATATATCACTGCAATTCTCATTTCAAATAATGAGAAACATTACATAGACGATATTACTGCCGACAATTCTACATGCCTTATGCGAATTCACGTCTGACTGCATCATCCTGAGCGGCCCTATGAGATCCATTCCTGACGGTACTCTTTGCGTCATACTGAAGATCTCTTGTAAGTCTTTTCTCTTCTGTATAAATCGCCTTCACGGTATTTCCACGAATTTTGTTTCTTGCAAAGCTAAAGAAATATCGAACGTGGCCGCAGTATTTTTTCCTTGTAAATTGCATGTATTTATGGTTGTTTTATGGATATTGACATGAAAGAACAAATCAAAACTTGATGCAGGTTGGATTGCTCTTACCCTATAAATCCTCATTTGTTCCTACAATCAGAGAGCGTTCCAAAAAAAAAAAAAGTTCCTACAATCAGAGTCAGTGTTGTATGTGACCCCAATTTATCAATGATCACAACGGTATAGCTTGAAACAGAACTACCAAGAAAATGAAATCGTGATAGGCTGATAGCCATGGGTGAGATTTAATATATGGGGTTTGTGAAATTCTATAGGGGGTGTATTGAACTAAACATTTAGAATGATTTGAGTTTTAATAAAAAATTTAGATGATTTTGGTGGTTTTGGGTGATTTTAAAAAAGTTGTTATGATTTTGTATTAAAGTGCTTTGAAATTCCATCTAAAACCATGCGATTTACATTTTTGTATCTTTAACTAAAGAAATCCCCTAAAATCCTTTGCAATCATTAAAATCACAATATTTAGAGAGGGAGGGGGGGGGGGTTTATTGGCACTTGAATTTGTGTAGATTTTGTAAATTTTAAAAGTTGATAGATTTTAAAAGTTATGTAGAGTATGACAACACATATATGTTGATTTATAAAATTTGGTCATAATTTTTTTAGATTGCTAGAGATTATCATGAATTTATATTTTCCTTTTTTATCATTCCTCTTGTAAAGTAATTATATGATTTATATTCTTCTAAAGTGTTCTGGAAATATTTTTCTTTCAATAACATGATTATTTGTTTTTTGGGAAAATGGTCGATTAGTACCTGAACTATGGTCATATTGTCTGATCAATACCCAAACTATTTTACTGTGCAAATTTGTATATGATCTAATACAAATTTTGAATTTAGTATCTGAACTATGGTTATATTGTCTAATCAATACTCAAACTATTTCACTATGAGAATTTGTACATGATCTAATAAAATTTATAAATTTGGTACCTGAACTTATAAAAACTGATTTTACATACCTGCGACCGACAACATGTCGGTATTCTGCAAAGGTGGATCGGTTTCTTGATGAGTTGGCGTTTTTTTTTAAAAAAAAATTAAAAATAAACAAAAAAGAGACAACTTGATTCGAACCCGGATCCCAAACATAAACATAA